GCCAAAGATTAGTTATTTCCTTAGCTTAAGAGTCCGAGGTAACTGATAATTTACATTTTTGTGCATTTAATCAACGTTTTTCAGAAAAATCCACACAGGCATGAATTCATTAATGGGCATAAAAGGTGTTGAGCCAAACAACAAAAATTTGATAAAAATTCACAAACCTGCGGAAAAATGCAAGTTTCTTCACTTTGATTATTTTGACGAGAGCCTGATTCCACCACGCTGCCTCATATATGAGCGCCAAGAGGTTGATGTCAACAGAGAAGTCCTTACGAACAAGGTGATTAAGAAATAGTTGAGCTAAGACGACTCATAAAGCATGCCACGACTAGTCTATATTATGCTCTTTATCACACCGTGAATAACTCAGGGACACGTTGTAACCTCAGAATTAGAAGATTCTATCTGCTCAGTATCTAGTTTTGAGAAATGTGACGTTAATTTTTTTTTATTTTCACAACATATCAAGCTTTTTCGAATGACGTGATTCTTTGAATATTTTGATAGCGACTCCGAATATTCTTATGATTTTGATAGGGCAGATAGATCATCAGGTTTCTGGCCTCATGGCTTTAGTAACTCAAAAAGGCCACAAAGTGAAAAAAAATTGTAATTTTGAGGTAGCGTTTTATCACCAGATTGTGGAACAGACTGCGGGAGTGGGCGGTTGGCGGATGCTCTTGTGTGATTTTCTCCTTCTTTCCTAAACTCACATCTGTTGTCCTTATATTCTCTCATTTTTCCTTTTTGTTTTTATTACTCCCTTGTAACATCTCTTATCTTGGTCACTAGTATGACCTAATTGTGTTGCAAGTGCCTCAAAACTCTTACGAAAACAGTACAAGACTGGGATGAACAGAAAAACCTAAGTTATGTTAGCACCTACCGCTGGGTCTGACGTTGTGTTCCTGGGAAAGGCACTTTACAGGATTTGTTTCTATTCAGCTAAATCTTATTGCAGAAGTTTAATTCAATTCGTTTGGCTCAATCTTATCGGAAATGGGCGTTTAATTTGGAGGTCCTATAATATCTTTGATACCCTTACAGTGTTGCAAGGGGCGTTAAACTTATACAGTTTCCCAAATTTTAAAGAATCTGGTCATCACCTTAAATGGAAAACACAGAGTTCGATTTTGAAAACTGATAATAATAATAATAA